CGCGCTTCGCGCGCCGAGCGCCTTTCCCCGGCAGCAGCGGCACGTGATTCGTAAACTCGGGCTATTGTGGTGCCCCGCAGGGGTGCCCTCATGTCAAAAATAGGACTATTCTCTGCGCTAAGCCTAATACATGCGTTTTTTAAATGTAGACGGCGAGTTTCATAGCCGAATTGTACCATGAACCTAGCTCATTAACATCGTCCAAGATAATTTCCTAAATTACTTCATCTTGTCTGATAGGCTATTAACTTAAAAGCATGTTCAGTTAGATGTCCCTATGGTTTGCGTAAATTCAATACCAAGCAAGTTAGGTTAATTGCCCCCCTCGTTAACAGCGCAGTAAACAATTGTCTGGAGCGCCAATTACAATCGACAACGTTAACAGATAGCTGTCTGCTCGTCTGCTGACGGGAGCCTTCCCCAACATTGATTTAGGTGAGACCTAGGTTAGGTACGTAAATCCCTAAATCAGGATAGCTTCCGATTCGACTGTCCGTATGTTACGCGTGAGAAGAGGCCGACCTATGGGTAGTTGGCGACCTATTAACGTTACCAAATTCAGAATAACAACATCAAATGTTTCGTGTTTCCTTTCGCGAATTGACGTTTCGCGTCGCGTTCGACAAGTGATCATCCTCCTGTGTTTTGCGATATCTTATTGGCTCGTTGTTGTTGTTGTTGGTACCATAAACTTAGCCGCCCCAAGGCTTCAGACTGTTATCTACGCCAAGTATAATACGTCAAAAACGGACCACACGTAGGACTTGGATGATAATAGAAGAAGAAACAAAACGTCTAAACGACTTAAAAGAGTTAAATAAGTGGGATTTGGCACCGAACTTAGTTCAGTGTTGTCATCAGATATATGTATGCAGTAGGCACTTGCCTGAAAACATTGAACTCGTTGGTGTACTTCGTAATGTACTGAGGTACATAAGCAATAACCCACATGTTCAAGTTGACCTTGTCGCAAAAAGCCCCCTCAGCCCCTTTGCCTCTGCCCCTCAATCGCGTACATAGTACATCAAGTATTTCGTACTTCTTAAGGTTCCACGTCACATCTCCCGGGATCCCGCATCGTTAAGCATCCTACCTTGACTTTGCTTGACTTGGACTTTACTACCATTCCACCACTGCACCACTGCACGTCTTGACCTTGACCTTTTTCGAAGGCCCGCCTCAGGTACGAAGGTATGTATGTATGCACGAAATTATTACCTACTACCCCGGACAACCTTAGGTTAGGCATTCATCCGTTGGCGACCAAATTGTCAGTTGCTATCGCCTGAAATTCTGAGAAATTCTGGGAAATTCTGGCCCTCGTCTTCCCCTTTCCCACCAGATTTGATATCTACATACCATCTGCATCTTGGGATCGACAGCCTAACCTTGACGGGTTGTTAGATGAATTCATCTCCATATAGATACGCATCAGGACTAACACGTATAGACGCTGAAGTACTCGTACCCAACATTCCTCATTACTTGTCGGAACCCTCGCTATCCATTCCAAGACAACTCCGATGAAGTCAGATACGGGGCTAATCTGAGACCTTCTCATCATCCGTCCCGAGATTCGCCCACATTCCTTGCGTTTGAATAGCGTTTGGCTATCATTTCTGCCTCATCATCTCCACTGTCGCCTTCCAACCTGGATTCGTCAACCCTTTCGGCGGGGTCCGGAGCCCAGTTCCACGACGCCTTAGATACAATGGAGCAAGATCACATTGCCGCGCCTCTCCCCCACGATCTCCATGATGTCCACGATATCCAGGATGATACCCTTGTTGGCTTCGATGGGCCTATGCATATTTCGGCTGAATCAGGCGTTCGTGAACCTCATCATCGGCAATCGCAGTCTCTCGACCGAGGACTAGCCAACAGCGCGCACCCTGATGACATCGACCCCAACACTATCGACCCAAACGCAGCCGACCCCAGTGCTCAGTTCGAGGCTCATCCATATGAACCTCCTGCGCAGTCCATGTCGAGACCTGCTTCATCATCCGGTCCTGGCGAAAGGCACTACACCGGCGAGGCTCCGAGGGAGAGCAACGGTGCGGATCGCAATACCCGAAACCATGTCGTGATTAAGGTCGGCATGGTGGGAGATGCGCAGATTGGGAAGACATCTCTAATGGTAAAATATGTTGAAGGTAGCTGGGACGAGGATTATATTCAGACATTGGGTGTCAACTTCATGGAGAAGACGATCAGCATACGAAATACCGAGATTACGTTCAGCATATGGGATCTAGGCGGCCAGAGAGAGTTTGTCAACATGCTTCCCCTAGTTTGCAACGATGCCGTTGCCATACTTTTCATGTTCGACTTGACGCGCAAGAGTACGCTTAATAGTATCAAGGAGTGGTATCGCCAGGGACGAGGCTTCAACAAGACGGCGATTCCTATTTTGGTAGGGACGAAATATGACCACTTCGTTAACTTCCCCAGGGAGGACCAGGAGGAGATCTCGAACCAGGTAAGCTTGCATGGGACATGGGAATAAGGAACTGTAGCTTACAACCGATTTAGGCAAAACGATTCGCCAAGGCGATGCGAGCTGCTCTTATCTTTAGCAGTACTAGTCATAGCATTAACGTCCAGAAGGTTAGTCCCATCGCATATGCGCCATCTGCTGGTATTTTAGATGAAGCCATGCTGACTATTTATCCTCAGATCTTTAAGATCGTCTTATCAAAGGCTTTTGATCTCAAGTGCACGATACCTGAGATCGAAAATGTTGGCGAGCCCCTCCTGCTCTACCAGTCGGTTTAATCTTGGGCCCAACCTACCCTTTGTAGTGTCTATTGGAAGAGGGCCTCCATGTTGATCTAGCACTTATAATTGCGTGCTTCCGATTCCCGCCACCCCTTTACATTTTACGATATTCAACGGCCTTTACGACAATACGAGCTCCAGCCAGTTCTGGACCTATAAATCCTGTAGCTTTACCACATGGCCGAAGCATGTTCTCGACACCTGACGGCCAAGCCCTTCAGCCTTAGAACATTTGATGCTTTACCTTGACAGCATTCCTTTGATGAGCTGACATAATAACGCCGAATCGTTAAGAACACACATCTAGATAAATTTCCTTTGTATGAACCGTCGCTAGGCGGACTCTATTTGCACCAGGGTTTACAACATAGTTTCGCATTAGGGAGTACATGGGCAATCTCGACTCGGAGAGGGCATTTGCCAAGCAGGATCACCGGACGACAGATTGCCAGTCACTTTTTATTCGGCATGGATAATCAACAAAAAATACACCCACCGTCGATCCTGAATTTGTCTTTTCGGTCACTTGGTTTTTATTTCGGCCCGGAGGAGGGGGTTTGGAGGCCATATATGATTTTAATCACTAGTCGTTTGGTGCGCAACGCAAGTTGACGTTGTTGTCCCGCACGATGTTGGTTTTGGGCTTCACACCCACCCTGCCTACTTGCCCATCTTTGCACATCATCGCTGTACGGTATACGGCAACAATGCAATGCCGAGGAGGAAAAGAAGAAAGGAGAACGACGATGTTGGAACTACCACTACGATCGATGGTAGGGGTAGTATGTAAGCAGAAGAAGAGAAATCAAGACTGATGAAAAGCAAGTACTTCGTGTCCGGTGCCGTGGTTCGACTTTGTGAATGTTGCTTTGCATATATACCTTAGCTGTTTTCTTCTAAGAACTACATCCTATCGCTTACTCCTCTACGGAGAAAGCTTGATACGCAGGGGCGAGTTACACTATCATAGCAAGGGGAGTTTTTATTTAATCAGCCTCATCGCACTTCTATCACATTTTCTCTGGCCCATGGGCAGTGTTATATAGAATTACACGGGGAAGAATGCTCTCCCCTATCTACACTTGTATGCTAGAACAGGACCCACCCTTCGTGAATACATACCGCCATTCCCCATCCCTTCCCTGTTCTCTATAAACTACAAAATATAGACCCCCCCATAGAAGCCTCCACTAAGGGACATGTACCCCAGAATCGTTTTATTACATGGGAGAATCTTAAGCCGGCCCACCCTTCTGCACGCCCTCCCCCTCGCCCTTCTGCGGGTCTTCGCGGGGGTGCTCGGCATCGGCCTTCTTGGAAGGGACGTCGGACGAGCTCGTCGCGGCGCGCGTGTCCTTTTGCCGGATCATCTCTTTGTAGTCCTCCTGCGCGCCCTTCTTCTCCTCGTAGTTCGTCGCCATGTCGCTGTTATCCGCGCTGGTAGGCGGGACTTGGCGGCCGGTCTGGCTGCTGCCGTGTGCGGCTTCGGGGTTGCCGTCTTCGGGGAGTTGGTTTGTGGGAGGGTTTTCGTCGCTGTCGGATTCAGATTCGGATCCGGCGTCGGATGAGGGCGGCGTGGAGGCGGGAGTGGAGGATGTGGAGGAAGAAGAGGAGTCCTCGCCGGATTCTACGTCAGGTGCTTTTTCCTTGTGGGGGGCTGGGGCGCTGCCGTGAGTGTGCTCGGAGGTCTTTTTGGAGGGTCTGGAGGAGAGAAGCCATGCTAAGGCTGGGATGGTGAAGACGACGGAGCCGATGAGCCTGTGGGTGGTAGACGTTAGTCACCTCAACGTAGAGACACTTTTGCTTCTGTTTCCCCGGCAGTTCTTCATATGCAATTGCTCGTACAATATTAATTTTCACCTTCTCAAAATTACTCAATTGACCTAGAAAAGCAGAAAACTACTCACCAAGGCAGATCACTCGACTTTTCCGCGCCCGCGCTTCCGGCATGACCACTAGACGAGTATCCTCTCCTCGCAGCCGAGCGCAGTGCGGACTGCCGCCGAGCCGGCGTAGATACAGCAGCTCGTCTAGCGACGGTGCGCAGAGAAGAAGTAAAGACGCGAGATGTCGACATTGTCTACGTGTTTTCCTCGGATTGCGTCTCAATGGCACAGGAGAGTGAAGTGAAATTACAGGTACGTAGCGCAGCGAAGCAGAAATTATGGAAAAACTCGATCTAGAGCTAGAGAATTCTAAAGAAAGTTTGTTTCTTATGTAAGTCGGGTATGGGTATGTCTCTTTAGCCCTTACGGTTCAGTCAGCCGAGGAATTCCGCAAGACCTTGTGCTTGCCGAAAGGAATACAAAAAAAAAATAAAGACGGGGAAGATAGATGTTACTATAGTTCAGCTTTGAGAAATAATTACCTGGTTAAATTGAAAAATACTAAAGTTGTAAAACTTAAATAGCTATTCCGTACATGATATATATTTTAGAATCTTCTCGCTTTCCCCGTGCCAATTGCTCCCGGCGGCTTGGTGATTCCTTCTTCGATTCTTCGAAGTCATCCATGTCATCCATGTCATCCATTCTTAGCAGCTTTTTGCAGCTCACTGCGTCCATGACCGGAGCTCGTATGGGGCCTTCTCCACTAAACAGTACCGTTCCTTTACGTCATTAGAACGCAAGTACGTACCCCCAATTGCCCACTGCCAGTCCGAACTGGGGGTAGCTTGACTGCTTGGCCATAGCTCTTTTTGCCCTTTTATCGCTTTTATGTAATGCAACCTTTACTAGAAACATCCGAAATCAACGTGATGAATTAAGGTATCTTTCATCTTGACTATAATGGCCATCTACTATCATAGAATAACTCACCTTCCTAGGTACGCACTTGAATTATCATAAACCAGTAGTCAGCTACATACTACGTACTAAAGACAAGCAATCAGCCCTTCTTCGTCTAACAGGTATAGCGATAGCCACCGGATACATAGGTACGTAGTCTAGGCGTCGTAGGTGCGATAGCTACATATTTTCTTAAGTGTCCCGAACTTCCCCTTATGCAGCTATCTCTTTATTCTCTTCCCGCAGCGACTTAAGTTGCCGTTCAAAGTCCTTATTGACCCATTCCCAATACTGTTGCCACACGGGGTTTTGTACTGCCTGGGACGCCTGAGCTTGTCCTACCGAGCCACCTGGCCCACCACTTATACTAGGTAGAGTAGTCTTGGTTTTCTCGACCAGCAGGAGGGTGACGCGTAGCACGCTTTTGATGGCCTCCTCTTGCTTCTCTACCTCCTGCTTCACCGCGCCGTCCCTAAGTTTGGTCGATAGCGTCTTCCTGTAGCACTCGGCGATCGTATCCAAGCGCCGAGTCGTCTCTTCGGGATCAATCACGATCAACTTGCTCAGCATGAGATTACAGAGGGACCGGATGTCATTTTCATCGTTAAGGCCGGCGATGATGCGATCGTAGAATTCGAGAGAACTGACGCGTGAAAACGCCGTCTCCATGAGGGCATAGAGAGTCTCGTATGCGCTCTAGATGAAATGATTAGTAACTTCACTCTAGGAAAGACGGACCAGACTGCAACTACTTACCTTGCGAACCTCTAATCCGTCATCCACCTGATGTTTGAATGGTCCCATCTGAACTTCGCGGATGAGTTCCGGTTTGATGACAGACTCTTGTATGACATAGGGTATTAATTCACCCAGATGAGGCAAGATCAAGTCCGGTTTGTTGTGTGCTGCTGAATTTAAAGCTGTCATGCCTAGGCGGCGGATCTCCATGTCTTTATCCTTTAGAACGGTCAAGAGCATATCGAATAGCACCGTCTTTAACATTAGATCGAACGACTCGTCGCTATCTGGGAGTGTGTATCGAAGCGCTTGTACAGCTACACCTCTAAAGGCCGGCGAAGGGTCTCCGAGAAGTTCCTTCGAAAGTTAGTAATTATTCAAGGGCAAGTGTATTGAGACATACCTGTAGTTTCGGGATATAGGTCTTAGGCTCCATAATAGCCAATCGCCCGATGCACTCTGCGCATATCGCCTTATTATCGTCAAGTTGAGATGCCGAGAAAAGTAGACGCCAAATTTCGCTCTCATACGAGCTGATATTTGTTGACGATGCAATGGCCTGGTGGAGGATCTCTCTGATGGATTGGAGAAGGAGGTACTGTTGGCCGCCAGGCTGCTTGATTGCGTCAAGAATAGTTGGTAGAAATACTGACACATTCCCTGCGCCCGCACGCCCAAGAGCAACCGCGGCGGATACCGAGACTTTGTCTGGCTCGTTGTGGAATTGCTGTAAGAAGATATTCGGTTGGAGGCCAGACTTGGCTCCGAGCCGCAATCCAATCTCTCCCAATATCGCCAATGCAAGACTTTGCCTGGCAGTGTCGGGTGGCGTTTTGCTGCTTGACTTATTGAGCTCGTCGATAAAACCCTCGACGCTAACATCGACCTGCCCGCCGCTCGCGACAAACAAAGCACCCGCAACTTTACCCACGACCGCGGGATCGCCCGCCACACCAACTTCTAGGACGCCACGCATTAACGGGTTTCCTATACCCGTTTCACCAACGCTCGTCACAAGAGTCACGAAGGACTCTAGCGCTACGCCGGCGATATTCTTCTTAAGAAGTTCGCAAAGGGGCTTGATGAAAGTAGGCGACGAGATCAACTGCGGATGTACTCGTTGAAGATGAGCAACGACGAGTAGAGCGGGGCTCAAGAGATAGTTATCATTAGTAGAAATGACAGGCAATATAGCCGTCACGATCTCATTGGCCGTGTCCACTTGGATCTTGTCACTAGCTGCCGGGGAAAGAACCAGGTGCTGTAGAGCTTGAATGCTCGCAGCTCGGAGAGCGCGATTTGACTTTCGAAGTTGGCCACAAAGCTCCAATGCAACCTGTTCGATCCAACTGGGGTCGAGGTCAATAGGCGGTAGGGAATGTGCCGCTACGTTGTCAATTGCTCGTACGGCGTGTAGACGTGTCGTTTCGTTCCGTAGACGATCCAGAAGCAAGTTCAAAGCAGCCTGACGCTTATCGCTAGGAATAAGAGCGATTCCATCCGGGGACGAAGTTCTCGAGATTAATGTCCCAAGTGCTTGGATGGCCTTTTGGCGCACCTCAGTGTCGGCATCATTCGCAGAAGCACGATCTAATATGATCTCGTATAGTTTGTGCAGCTCAGGCTTGTACTTGTCGGTCCTGAGTCTTGCACGAGGCGGCGTTATGGCCTTAACCAGCTCTTCGGCTGTCCTAATGGCCTCGCTAGAAATTTTATAGAATCTGTCACGGACTGCAGAAACCACCCCCGCAACAATACTTTCAAGGTAGCGCTGAAATAAGTTTGATGAATGAGTCTTTGCTATATCACTTGTAAAGCGAAGGACAGCCACGCGCAATGTAGTAGCAGTAGCCGACGCGGCACCCGACAATGCGGTCGACGTTGAACCGGTACTGCCTGTCATTCCTCTGGTAACGTCGATAATGGGTTGCATAACCTGGTCAAAATAGTCGGCCAAGCCACCGTTCTGCACCGCGATTAAATCATCTAGCAAATTGATTATCGCCTGCTTCGTGGCTATTTGTTTCCCTTTAAGCAGCTTGGTTGCCGACTTGACAATCTGAGGCGTAAGTTTCTTAAGGTCGGCGCGTGGCCCGGTCGGCGGAACTGATTCGCGAGTAGGGGAGGTAAGACCAGTGGCTCCAAGATAGGGAGCCTTGTTGGTGTATGTGATACCGCCGCTACTCTGTCTTCGACGCTTTCGGTTCCCCACAAGGGAATGTAGGAGCTCCTCATCGGTTGAGATAGATTGGATCACACCTTCGCCCGTCTTTCGAATTAAAAGTGCCACAGTCCCAATTATCTCGAGACGCACACTTTCTTCCCGCTCGTCAAATCGCTTGACCAGCGGAGGGGCAATTTCATTATATAAGGTTCCCTTCTCAAGAAGATCGGTGCTTCGCGTAGAGATCAAGGTATAAAGGGCCTTTGCGGCGCATCTGCGGACCTTCCAACTTGCATCGTCGTCGTCATCAAACCCGGCGTCGTCATCAAATTCATCGTCAACATCATCATCGTCATCATCTTCGGCATCATCTTCCTCGTCCATATCTTCATCTTCGTCAACCGCATAGTTGGGGTCAAACTTCGAATACCGAAGACATGCTGCGATGACTTCATCAGTATAATCCCTCATTTGCAGACCACATGACGCCAAGAATGACTCGAGCGCAACCAAAGCCGCCTCCCGGACTTCGTTGAACTCAGGATGAAGTTGATCATTGCCTTCGCTAAGAGCATCGAGTTGGCTCTGTAACTCTTCCTGGCTTAGGGGTGATAAGACAAATTCGATGAGCTGAGGTAAGTACTCGCCGAACTTATATGGAATCGACCGAGCAAGAGATCCCATTATAGAAATATAGAGGCGGCGCATGACTGGACTAAGTTTGGGCTGCTTCAAGGCTTTCTGGATCTTCGTAACAAACCCATCGAGGACATCAGATGTAAGGTAAGGCGCAAGAATGGCAAGCGCAACAACTGCTCGTTTCTTCACGGGAGAAGGTGTGGATGCCCTTTCTAGGACCTGCACGACGACATCTTGCAGCTTTTCGACCTCTAGCGGCTGCAATAGGGGACCGAAGCATCTGACTACCTCGATAAGTACGTCGACAGACTCTACAGTAGGGTCTCTATTTTTGTCTAGTATTCCGCGAGGTTCGCTAGCCGCTTGCCTGGGCGCGTTGGAGGATATAGGATAGCCGAGAATACGTGGAATAAGGACTCGGCTAACTATATTGTACGTCTCGATCACCTCTCGAGAGGGTGTGACTCCTCGAACTGGTTTCTGGAGTGACGAGATAGCGCTACGTAGAGCGAGGGAGGGTATCGAGTTATCCACTGAGTTTTTTATCTCCACCGCACTGAGCTTATCCAACGTGGGAGAAAGAACCGAGAGGGGGATTTTGGTAACCAATGGGCCGATGCTACAAGGTCGTTAGTACCAACTTCCAGGTCGCCCATAATTCGTGATTTACACATACCATTTAACCGCCAGGTTCTGCACCTCCCCGTTTTGGTCGTCCAAGGTCCTTATGATATTGTCGACGATACGTGATGAAGTATTATAATCGTGAGTTAGAAAATCGACCTTCTGTTTAGTAAGCATTTGATGAAGGTCATTTAACGACATAAAACGGAAGTCAGGATCTGGGTCGGCCAGTTTG